GTCAAATCGAAAAACGTGGTGTACAGATCTTGGTTCTGCTCTTGACACTATTACTGGAGTTGTCGTGCTGCGAAAATCATATCAACAGTTCCACGGCCCTTACGAAAACCACACTGTGATTCTGGTAGCAGTCCTTCTTCAAGGTGGTATATTAGCCGGTTTAGTAACGCTCGGGCAACAACTTTCCCAGGTATTGAAATGAGTGATATGCCACGATGATTAATACGGGACTGACGATTACCCTTCCTCTTGTATAGGTAAATAATCGAGGCATCTTTCAATTCCTGGGTGATGGATCCTTCAGTCCAGAAGGATTGGAAGCGGTCAGTGAGCTTCTGGATAAATGTGGGACCACCAACTTTATATATCTCTGATGGAAGAGCATCTGCACCAGGGGCTTTGCAACTACAGAGCTTGCTTATTGCCTCTCTGACTTCTGATTCAATAGGTGGAACATCCATGGTCGTGTTAACGTTGACATGGGGCAACCTGTCTATTGCCTCATCATAGATGGAAGAAGGACGGTGGAGGAGAGCTTCAAAATGTTCAGCCCACCTATGCAAGATCTTTTTCCTCTCGGTAATGAGTGTAGTCCCATCGGTGCTCAAGAGAGGGGAATTTTCTGACGATCGAGGTCCATATATGGTGTTGAGACTTTCATAAAACCGCTTTGTATCATTTCTTTCGGCATAGGCTTGAATTTTATTAGCCTTAGCACTGAGCCAGGAATCTCTCATCACCCGCAGCTTACTCTAAACTGTTCTCCGTGAACTGACAAAGGCATTCTTCTTGTAGACTGAAGTTGGATCATCTTGGTAAGCACGATGAAGTCTTTGCTTTTCATCAAGTAAGGCCTGAATCTCCTCATCATTCTCATCAAACAAATCATGCTGATATCGGGTATGGTAGCCCAACACTTGCACTGCAGTTGAGTGAACTGTGTCCCTAAAGTATTCCCAGTCTTCTTCGACGTTACCTCTAGGATTGAAGTTGGCATTTTGGGATTCTAGGTCTGTTGATAGAGCTGCACTTGTTTGACGGTTTTTCAGTTTGGCAACATTTATCCTCTTTTTTGTCATGCATCCCTGTGGACGTCTCTTTGGTATGCTGCGGATATTCATTTTAGAGATGATGAGTCTGTGGTCGGTCCAGCACTCTGCACAACACATAGCCTTGGTAATTCTGACATCCTGCCTGTATTTCTTCCTGACAATGAGGTAGTCGATGAGATGCCATTGTTTCGATCGGGGATGCATCCATGATGTTTTGTTCCTGTTGGGCAGCCGGAATATTGTGTTGGTTATAAGGGGACAATACGATGAGCATAACTCCAGCAGGCGCAGGCCATTGCTGTTGCACTTGCCTACCCTACACTTTCCAATGACTCCATCCCAGGCGGCAGAATCACGGCGTACCCTTGAGTTGAAATCCCCAAGTAGGATCAACTTATCAATACTGCACACGGATGAAAGCATAGTATCCAGATCTACGTAGAATGACAAATCCTGAAGATGTCTTTCACATCTTCAGGATTTGTCATTGTAGGTGCACAGGCACAGAAGGGTGTAGCCCGTTTACCATCATGTAGATGAATCTGCATTGACATGAGACGATCGTTTGTACCTTTAGGGAGATTGGCAAGCTTTTGGACAAGATGGTTCCTGATGGCAAAACCTACCCCAGACTCCCGGCGCTCATCGGCAGAACGGCCACTCCAGAAGAAATTGTAGCCACCTCCATATTCAGTCAGTTACCTCTCATTAGCGAAACGAGTCTCACTCAGTGCTGCAATGTCGATGTTATATCTTGCAAGTTCTTTGGCAATTAGGGCAGTTTTCCTCTCTGGTCTTCCTGTGCCTAAGGTTATCGGTGTCACCTTAATTTTTTTCTTTCCTTTATTTCGACCGCAGGTGTGGGATTCCCGCCAACCACGGCTTGATAGCCAGGATGTAGGTTGAAGCAGGCTTTTTAAGGAGACCTTTTCTAGTCCCTTCCTCATGTGAGGTGAGCAGTGTATCCCTAAAGAGGGCTGCTCAGACACACAGGTAGACGTCGAGTTCACTGCTGCTTCAGTCTGTACGAAAGCGACCATTAGACCTGGGCCGCCTGTGTGCAGGTTTGCAACTACAGCTCCCAGTGTATCCATACCTGCTGCTTCGTCGCTCGCCAATTAACACAGGGCTTAAAGCTTAGCTTTTAGGTTAGGTGGCGTTGTCAAGACGTATGCAAGAATTTATTATAGTGAGGAAAAGCTGGCAGACATCAACCTCACTCTTCTCTGAAATCACATGGATCTAGTGGCAAGACAGTGTCGAGACGACTGGTGGTGACCTCAGATGCAGGGAGTATTCGGTTACTGCTAGATGTTATGCAGTTCATCAACGGAGTTTTTTACTTATGAGTTTCAGTTAGTAAAGAACCAGAATTCTTAACTTGATTATATAAGATTATATCAAGCCCTTTTGAATCATCCAATTTTCTCCGTGTTTTTTAATATTCCCATTTTGTGCACTCTCCTTTTTACTCTTTTTTATTTTTGTGAACTCCCAATTTTGCATTTGTTTAATATAATTTAAAAATTCGTAATATGCAAATGTTTTTCTGCTTTGTAGTTTTTTACTTATAGGCCTTTGTTTGCAAAAAGAATTTTTGACTTAAATGATATAAGATTATAATACGCATTTCAGAGCAATCTATATTTGTCAATGATTTTCTACTACTTACTTTTTATGTGCAATTGCTAGATTTTGAATAAATTTTGGACAATATAATTATGTGTAATGTGAAGAAAATTAAAAAAAATCTATCGAGTTGTTTTTTACTTGTAGGATTTTGTTTTCAAAATACATGGATATAGGAAATTAATTATATATATAATATTTTTTCGCATTTTTGAGTCACCCAAGATTCTCTCAATGATTTTCTGCCATTTGTTTCTTTGTGGACAATACGGATTTTAAACATATATTAAACAAGATAAATATGTGTCTTCAGTAGAAGTTTACAATGTCGTTAGAATTATACGGATTTATACAGTGTAGTTCAAGATAAACTAGCAGTTTTTTACTTATAAGCCTTGGTTAGCTAAAGAATCAGAATTCTTAATTGTATAAGATTATATCACGCATTTCTGAGGCGACCAACTTTGTCGATGATTTTCTATTATTTTGGGGCACTCTCAAGATTTTGGAAATGTTTTAGACAATACAAATATCTATAATGTGACTAAATTTAAGAAATCGAACCGTGTAATTTTTAAATTCATAGCTGAATAAGATAAATGAAAAGCACAATAAAAATTAAAGCTTAAAGTATTCTTAATTTCGTGACCACTACACTTTTTGTGATGCTTCTCGACAGTAACAAAGTCATAAACAGTTATTTGTGAAAATATGTTTAAAAATATAACATAAACAAATTATTTTTTTATTGTTGTATTTCATTTTAAACGTGTTTTATGGAGGATTATTTACTTGATAATATTGAATGATAAATTTTAGCCGAATGTCGTGATGAATGCTGTGATGAATGTTGTGTTGAGTTTGTGATGACTGATGTCCTCAGCAGTGGCGTGCGGTCATGCAAGCGTAGGCAAGCGCCGCTTGCCTAAACATTTTACCGAACAAAAATTTTTTGGATCAATCTCTGAGCAAAATCAGTTTAAATTTTTCTGTTCTAAACAATGTCAATGTAATCTTTTGTCTAAATTGTCTTTACATTTGAAATGCTTGCTATTTATACGCGATTTACTGTCGTGGTTTTCGGTTTCACTTTGCTACACTTGTAATATGAGTCAAGTGGATTAAATACACGTTAAAAATTTCTTATTTATTAACCAAGGCAAGCGCGCTTGCCTTCGGAGCTCAATTTGAACATTTGCGCATGCGTTAATCTAGATTTGGAGGCTTCTTATTCGAGGAATATCGAGAAAGGCAAGCGGCGCTTCTAAGGGCGCCGCTTGATAGCGATTGGTCAAACACATATCAGCGCACGAATAATATTCGTATATACAACACATTGGACATCCGAATTATTCACGCCATTAATGTTGTCGTTTATTAAAAGATGACTGAGAGCGAAAGGTAATGTTCTGATTTCTAATTCAAAGTAGTAGGTGCTTTACTGGTTATTTTATTATTTTCTGCGCACAATGTGCGTAAACAAGCAGGGGCCGCAGTCTGCAGAGACATCGAAATGCGCGCAAACGTGTGTTGTGGTAAAGTATGACTAGCATTATGACCAAAACACTATGCTCTTGTCAGTCTTGTGTCGTTGAATTCATAAATTAATGACTAAAAATAAAAGGTACAAGATACTAAATAATAAACACGACTCTCCGATATTCTGAAACGTACGAGTCAGTGCCAGACACATTTTGAAGAACGGGAGAACACGTTGCCATGACGTCATTATACCAAAATATAAACATTAAACAACGCCATGGCCTTAGTTTGTAACACACCGTGCCAATTTTGTTCGCGAAGCTGGCTGTTCTTAATTGTTATAATCACGACTGCTACAATACATTTCGCGCCTATTGTCTTGCAATTTATTTATGTAGAAGATATTATCTGTAGCATGTAATACAAGATTATGATATTGACAAGAGCTTCCTTTGCGTAGTAGTTTTGATATTTGTATCCGGTAGATATCATGTAACTGATGTAAGGTATAAATAAGATTGATGTTCCTATAAAATATATAGCATAGGAATTTTCATCCTTTTATGTTCTACTTCTACATTCGGTATTTCCGCGAACCTCACCCCCAGCGCTTGCCTATTAAATTCGGTCACCGCACGCCACTGGTCCTCAGTATGTTTCGCAGTATGGTACCAAATATACAGTAGTGAAATGACTATCCCTTAAAGCTATGACAGCGTACAAAATTTCAAATTTAATGCAGAGTTTAAAGCATTGTTGTGTAATGTGACTCAATGGTAATCCGTCTCTGAAGGCTCAATTGTGCAATGAATATTAAGACGCCTCGTACCGGAGAACTTAAATATCAAGGAATATTTTATTAATGGGCTGCATTTAAAAGTTTTACGTAATGAAATGATTGAAAGCGTGAAAAAAGTTTCTAAGCTTTATGTAATAGGATAATGTTGTCGTTTGATTAATAAATGAATACATATATTGTTAAAAAGCTACAGTAAATTTCATTGTTTTTGAAAAATAAAATAAAATGCCCCTTTGTCATTTGCATATCTTGGCTCAAAATATTTAGAAATAGGTTTCCACTTTCCTTGTTTTGTTAGCTCGTCTAGCTTCCGATGAAATCCATAGCCAGGGTCGTCGAGTACAAATTCATTAATTGTAAAGAATATTAGGCCTCCTTGTTTTACAGAATGAATAAAATCATCCATTCCTTTCCCTTTTACATGACCAGGACCAAAAACACCAACACATATAACTGCATCGTACTGGCCAGCGGTAACTCCCAGCTCAACTGATCCATTGGTTCCCATGACTCCCTTTTTTAGCGATCTGTACTTTGAGAAAATATAAATTATTAAAGAGTGAAATGGATAAATATCTTTAATGATAATCACAAGAATTCGTTAAATATAAAAAACTGACTGATTTTTTATAATTTTTCAAAACTTTGGCATTAAAATAAAGGATCAACTCTAATTTTGGCTTTTGTTGTTAATTGTAGGATCATAGAAGAAAACACAATATCGTTATGCTTACGATTGAAATGAAAGGCATGTAAATTTTATTGAATATTTTTTATAATAAACACTTAGCGATTGATAATTACTTCATTTTTCCATGCTTGTACTAAAAATTATATAATGTTTTATGTGATTCGACCAAATATCCTTTTCATTGATAAATCGCGTATTTTCTTATTTAGCTACCTTATAAAAACTATCAATTATGAACATTTCATGTTAAATGTCGATTTGAATGCTGTTTCTACAAAAAGCAAAAATTCAAGTAATACTTAGATTAAATTTCAACCTGTAAACTCCTTTTGTCTCAGAAAGCTTCAACATTTCTTCACTAATGTCAATACCGTCTACATTCTTATATCCCAGCTTGTAAAGATGTTCACCAACGAGTCCTGTGCCACAACCAAGGTCCAGAATTTCAATCTCCTGGTTGTAGTTATATTTAATAATTTCCTCGTGAAGTTGTTCTGCTGCAACTACTGGTCCTTGATAACTAAAATCATCAGCAACCTGAAATGGTATTGTGACTATTTAATCTAGTTTTATTTTTCCAATGATATGCTAAGGTAGTTGCCCATTCTTTACTTTTAAACTAAAAGTTCATTTTGTTTTATTATTTCATTTCAATTAATAAAAACAGCAATTTCTTGTATTGGACGGTTGTTTAACCTCATTGCAGGAGTTTGCATGCTAAACAAATTTCAACATTCATCATATTATAGCTGCAGCCAGAGTTTCCTGCAAAAGACTGATCTCTATATAAATTTTTGATGAAGGTCGTTTACCAAATTCTTACAAACTTTAATGTTTTGAAAAGGAGTAATGCATTTTAAAGTTTACACTATTTTCTTTCTGAAGTACTTATGCTGCTGTTTATCCAAAAAGTAGATACGGAAACCATACATGTGTGTATCCTTTAAAGTACATGATCATCAAATAAAGTAGACAAATAAAAATATTTAAGATAGCATTAAGCATTTAATAAATTTAAATGACAGTTGTTGTCATCAGGAAAATGTACTTAGTGCTCGCTATTCCGTCAAAAAAAACCTGTACGCTGTGCATAATTTTATTTTTTGCCTAACTTTCAATTTTTGACATGCACCATGCGCTAGCTTATTGCCACTTTATGATCGTACTACACATTCTATGTAAGAATACGGTAAACCTTTTAGCACAAAGCACGAATAAGCAATGAAAAAGCTAAATATGACCAAAATACAACAGTTTGAATAAATAGACGACTATCAATTTTGATGCAAAGCATTTACTTGTGTTTAAACTAATCATAACCATAACTTCAGCTTGTTTTTGCTTTCTTCAACTGTTTTGTCTAAATAGTGGTTTATTTTTATTAAAAACCATTTGGTATGTTAAAATTATTCTTTTTCTTTGTCTTCTTTGTCTTTTTTGCCTCTAATAAAGTCTTGTTTGAGCACTTTTCATCGCATAATTTTTTCATCTTTTATATATACCCTCCTGTACTCTTTACACGAGTTCTAACTTTGCATTTTAAAATATTTTTCTTTTTTTCTTTTGTCTGCAAAAACCTATTCTTACCTCACCCTTTTGCCTTATTCACTTTTCTAAATTCTCTTTCATTCTTCTAATTTTTAAACTGTCGGCCTTATGTCCAGAAATGACTGTTAAAAGAGCTTTATTCTGTTTTCAGTTATTTTCAACTTTAAACGTTTCTGTCCCTAGATACCAATCTGTTTTTATTAAGTTAGTCATTGCCATAATTTTCTCAAATTTTTGAAATTTGAAATCCTCTTTTCATTCACTACCGAGAAATAATATGATTTTAGTAGTTAACCCAGAAAATCACATAAATCAATTAAATTAGGGCTAGATCAGACTTTTTGCTGCAACAAAAAGTGTAACAAGTTGTTCTGATTGCAATAAAAATAATTTTTATGATAAATTATTTCGCGCAACTTGAGCATTACCATGAAATTAGAAAAAAATTTGTGAAAAAAGGCATACGCAGCTTATCGAAACATTAATGAATTTCATTGTCTTATATGTTACCTTTGATCTAAATTATATTGTGCGTAGTTTCATTGTTTACGATCACGCCAAGATTATACTTTTAGCCACCTTTTATTCTACAATATATAGACGACTATTTTTTGTGTTAACTAGCAAGGACAAATCTAGGGTTTGTCAAAAGAGTAATTGGACTCACGTATGTTTTCCTGAAAAAATTCTTATTTCATCATGAATACTAAAGTTAACCAAATAATGAGTAATTACCTATTTTCTTTTTTGCAAAGTGCAAACCTCAGTTGTGCTTTTATCCAAAGTTATTATTTCAAAGCCATTTTTGCTTACGGAGGCAACAGTTAAGCGCACAAGTGTCGCACCATCTGGTGACTATATCCATTTATTTGATTCGCTAAGGCGTAAGCGTAAAGCTATATCAATATATTTCACTGGCTGAAAAGGTATGTTGAGTGAGTCGTAGAGTTAGTCGAACAACCAGCATATGAACTTGTTATATAACAAGATAATAAGAGTAGGGATTTGTATAAATGTATAAAAAAAAAAGAAAATGCTCAATCCGGTGCTACCACTATTAGTTGCATTATGCCGGAATGTTTCTCTCACTCTATGCATTTACTAAAGAAAGCTTAAAAAATTCGATTGCAGACGAAAGCATGCATCTTTTAATAAATTTGATGCCCTTTATGGAGAAATTTTTTATGTTTTATCTTGAGATCTGTAATCTGATATAAAAGTTTTTCGATCTTAAAACAATTATATTTTCCCTCCCTTAAATGATAAGTACAAAATAGCTTTTACACATGCGTGATTTATGCTTTCTATTCGCGTTGTTATTACCCTTTAGAGGTTAGTACATTTTCAGATTATTTGAAGATATCTTAAGTTGAAGACGAAGCGTAATTATTGAAAAACCTTTTATTTTTCTTTATTTTATTATTGTGATAGCCTTCTTAAAAGTCGTATGCTGGGCTATTATGTTCATATTGAAAAAACCATGCTATTACCTGTGCAAACTGGTACTTGCTGCAATGTTTCCGATGAGTAAAAAAAGAACGATGCAGTTGTTTTTTAAAATTTTTACGGTTGATATATTTCATTTCAAAATATGTATTCAATAGTAACCATCGTAATTGACTGAATAAATATCAAACCCATCAACTTAAAAGCCAAAATACTTTGCTACGTTTATTGACTTTATCTTTTAAACATAATCAAAAAACACTTTGGTGAAAAAGTGTTTTATCAACAAATCTCGAGTAACGTGTATCTTCGCACGTGGGATACACGTAGTTTGACCTCCAGACACACGGAATTTGGCTTCAAAAATTATTTGACTTTTTTAATACAGGTAGTTGGCCATCTATATAGTTCAGTGACAGAGCCTCGAACACTTTGCTTGCCGAACACTTTACTGTGCAAATGATCTCGTAATATATATGTTTAAATATGCCTTGCTCACAAAAGAATTCGAAGGATAAACGATGGCGTTTCAACTTTGAAGAAATAAATTTGCACTTTATGAAATTGAATTAAAAAAAATAAATTAGTAAAGGAAACAAGCTCTGTCAAAAGGCCGTATTATCTTTTAAACTGAAACCAAATAAGATAAAATCAAAAATTTTTCACTTTTAAAATGTTTACATCAGTTGAACATCTGCTAAAAGAGCTGAGCTGCTGTAGATGCATCAGACGCCCCTATTTTGGCGTCTTAAGCGTGAATATCATAGGATTGACATCATTTCCGCAAGGCAACTTAAAGATCATCATACTAGTATTGAAATTCATGCGCAACAAAACAGTGAAATAAATATGTGCCTAAATTTCCGAGCATCTGATTGTACATACGGCATAGTTTCTTTCTTTAAAGAAAGAACAAAGATATCATTTTATCTTAATAATAGAACAATTTTGCTAGTTTTTTTTTGTTTTTATTCATACTCGGACCTGTTGAAAAGGACTGGCGATAGCTAAGTTTATTTGATTTTGAAAAAAAAACGTCGAAAAAATGCATTTTTTGATGCCATGAGAAATTTTTCCATCCAAAAAACTCATTTTTCTATAGTTTATAATTAATGACGTCAACAACCCTCTTTTTTTATATTGGTTACATTTGTTTTACAGGTAAAGTTAATGCTTTGTACAAAGTTTTAGTCTTTCTAGAAGTAATTTAACTAATAAATGGCTGATAATGATAAATTTTGAGGTCTACAATCGCCAGCTAAAATTAATGCATTTTTCACCTCAAAACCTTCATGGCGGCGATCATAAGTGGCTTCAAAGATGGATACCAAGTTATCGTTCCAGTGTGTCATTGTGATAACAATTCACTTGTGTTATTGAATTTTTTATGCACATAAAATGATTGTTTTGAGGCATTTGAATAAAACGCTTCATTATGAATTTCTTTTTAAGATAGTAAAAAGATTACTTCATACTTAATTCGTTTGTACTTTGTAGGATCTTTATTCCGAATTGGTTTAGAAAGATCGAAAACAAGTCACTCGCTTCCCTCACTGGTTTGTTTTCAATCCTTCTTGTGCATAAGAGATGTGTGCACACACTAAACACACCAATTCTGTCTTCTCTGTTAGACACTGTTGATAAAAGAAGCTCTTTACACTGATAAATTTTAAGCAGAGCACAATCTCAAACTCTCTGTACAAAAATACGTTATAAATTTTGCTATTGCTTTATTGTCATTGATATTCTTGTCGTAGTATTTCATTCAACCTAAAATTTCTTTTTGTTTTCATAGTACTCGATGAGTCAGCCAAGTAGCTACGATAGTCGTTTTTTGATGGAACGCTACACCAAAGCATTAAAAGTATAGTTTCATAAGTCTAATTTATGCAAGCTTAGCTTTGTACGTAACCATTAAAATACTTTTTTTATATATTTTGAAAAATGTTCCAGTCATTACCTTTTCATAAGTGGCAGCCCATTTTGAGTAAAGATTAACCAGATCTTGTTGGGGTGTGTTTGAAGTAAATTTTTTCAGACGTGTGTAGCATTCATCTTCATTTGGATCCATTAAAATACGGTTATTAACAATTTCTGCAAATGTGTAGGAGTGCTACGAGTTTAGTTTATGTAATATGCTATATGTCAACACTTCCTTACGAATACATGAACAATGCGACCTTTTTGTACCTGCAAGCACGTGTATAGGGCATTCATGTGAATAAATTCAAAACAGAAAATAATTATGTTTCTCGTGCAATTTAATTAATGTTTTCACTTGCATGCATGACAATTGTTGCAATGTATTAAATTACAATTGCAGTTGCGTTGTCATTTATTAAATCACAAAGGGTTCCAGAAAGAGTTATCGGTACTGCTTACTGTCGTCGTGAGGCAGTATTTTTGCCATGAGTACGAGGCATTGTTTTTCTCGCAAGACCTTTTTTCTAAGACTTTGCCATCCGTTCGCCTACTAATATAAAATAATCCAAAAAAATATATTACCAGTTGCGCTATAGAACGTTAAAGTATTCAGAATAACGAATCATATGACACAAAGGTGGGGTTGCAAAATATTGAGTAATTATGTTGAAGCAATAAATAAAAATTTGAAGCAATAACCGCATATGTGATGTGGCTTCATATGATTGAGCTACTTGTAATGTTTTGGAACTGTCCAATCGTGTGTGAATTGCATATTAATTTGTGCTCTCATTGCCTGAAAATCGTTAATCTGTTATATTGTCACCAAAATTTCCTTAGTCCAAATAAATTTCAATTCATTTATAGCGGACAAATTGTTTTAACTTATCTTCCATGCTTGAAAACTTCAAACATGAAAATATATTGAACTTGTTTACTTTTGAAACAAATTTCTTCTGACAACCAGGGTCGAAGCTAGAATGCTTATTGTGGGGGGAGGGGTGTATATCCATATATTCCGCTTTACCAACTAAATTCGTGTCAAATTAATATCGCTTTAAAAAGAAATCAGTCAGGCAATGCTGAATATATGAATAATCACCTCCAACTAGCGTTCTAGCTTCGCCCCTGCTGAAAACACAGCATATTTCAACTCATGTTGACGTTTATAATCAAAAAATTATCCTTACTAGATAATTTAAAAGATCTATATCGATACTACTGGACAACTTAGTCAGGATGTATATTGTCCAACAATATTTTTCATTACAAAAAATAAATGGAAGCTAGAACGTCGTTCAACGTCAAATTGAATTGTATAAATTGCCACCCAGCTTCGTCATACACTATGTTCATCCGAAGAATGGAATTGGTTTAATCTCAGTTTAACAGCCTAATTTTATTGAACTAAACAGAATAAACACGTAATTATATTTAGGGCTCCCGTCACAATGAATAACATGTTGCCATAAGGACTAGCTATATTTAAGAAAAATTCATAATATTTTGAATTGTTCTTGTAGAAGGCTTTTTTTATCTGCGTTCCAAGAAACAGCTAAATTAATTAAAGAAATTTGTAAGAAAGTATAAAGTTAGAAACACAGAACAATAATGTGTAAAAAATTCTTGTGCCTTATATACCACAGCGACGATTTATTATTTCATCAAAATACCTGATAACTCTGTCTTCTATAGCTATAAAGGGCACAGTGATCATCTCTTTCAATTTTTGTAAGCATTGCTTTGGCTGTATCAAGTTGCATACTTAGTTTTTGATGCTTTATGGCTTACACTGGCAAATTATAACTTTACGGAATAAAGTGATCAGAAACCAGAACAAGCAGACAATTTCAAGTAATACAAAATAAAACAAATTCCGAAAAGGAACATCTCGTCTGATGATGTCTTTGGAATAAAGACGAAATATTACACCATCTTTTGTTTCTAACTCTTGTATTATCTTGAATATCAAGAAAACGAGATGTCCCTTGTCGGAATTTGTTTTATTTTGTATTAAGTGATCAGAATGTCAAAGAATTCCATAATTTGTGCAATTAGTTTTGAGTAAATGTGTCATGCATCATGGGGATAAAAGCCATGCAGCCTTGACATCATTAAAGTTATGAAAAATTTTATATTTTTTCCACTTTGTCGATGATATATTGTGTGATTCTAAATTTTATATTTTTTCCACTTTGTCGATGATATATTGGATGAAGCGAAGCGTTTATTCATTTTAGCAAATGGAAAAGAATAATTCCTTCACAACAAAAAACTTAATTAAGCAATTTCTCTATGTTCTGAATTTGCAAATTCACAAAACCTTTTCAACTAAAATGACTCATGACTTATAAGAAAGGTTGTAAGTTTTGCGTTTAAAGTTTTTACTCCTTTTTCAATATCTCAAAATCATTTCACGTCTCGCTAAATTCCGAATAGATGGGCTCATGTGAACAGCCGCTAAGATTTATACATATTGTATTTTATTAGAAAATATTTGCTTTGGATTCAGTGGGCTATAATTTTGTACAATAGTTTGCACTGTTCATCAAATACTGTCCTTCTGGTTAGTAATAATATTCTCGATAGCATTAAAAGGGAAATTTGGAATTAAAACAGAGTTATACTGCGAATATTAAAATCGTTTTTGCGTAAATGGTATGTTGAGAGAGTCGTTAAGTTAGTAAAATGATCATGTTGCCGAATATTTGTTATATAACCAGAAAAACATTAAGTAAAGATTTGTCTGCTGATGTGTAACTGCTCTTGAATGATTAACAAGCTTTAGCAAAAGACTACGAGTACGAATTACGTCATTTTGCCGTGGAAACATTGTTACGACAACAACAACACGTAGCCGTCATCAATCTGAGTACGATGTTTTGTAAAAAAATCGTAGTTGCTACTACGATGTCTTTTTAAGCAAGGAAATTAGAAATATTATAACTTCGGTTAAGCTTCGTGCTCGTTGTCGTAGTCGTACTCTTGCTAAAGCTCTCTATGGAGGCTCTCTATAAGGTATTTAATTTTCAGTCGTGATTGAATTTTTGCTGGAGATTTATGTGTAACTGATTTAATGTACTTGCTCATCGGATCTTTCTGGGAATTACCCGAATAGCTCTCTGTCACTAGTATTCACTGTTAACAACTATCTGCTAAATATACTGAGGCTGTTAACTTCTATAAAGCTATTTGAAACTGTTCAACAGTTCGTGAAAACCATATTGAAAATTTAAATTACAGTGTTTATAATCTTTATCTAAATACATATCACAGGAGTGCTTCGATTCAGTTATAAGGGATGAATCTAAAAGATGTCTAATATTTCAATACAACCATTTTGCGTCTCCAGTTGTTTTGTAATTAGCGTAAGAGAAAATATTAAAATTGTAGAAATATTACCTCACACATTTCTCTCCGACAAAAAATTTCAAATGAGAAAGGTACTGTTCACATTTTTTTCTCGAAGGACGAAACAAAAGTTATGACTTCTAGAGAGGTAAATACGCTTGAATAACGCATTCTGATTTGTTATAAAGCTGAAATTCTCGTGATGTGGTACTTAAGAATATTTGAGGAATTTGCATTACACTACGTTGAGTATTTCATTGCATGGCACAATGCTTAAGCTGCCATATGAGACTGCAGATGATCTATAAATGCTGGCGGCTTCATATATGTACAACATACTGTATCAGGCTCATTTAAAATTCATTGTTTTCACAAATTGTAACATTCATTTATGATTATGAGCTTCCACCTAAATTATCAATCTTCCGCAGTCTCTGAAGCATCCTACTAACTCTAAAGTATTTACAGACTTATGACTTTCGCCATACACTATCACAGTAACGTTTGAAGAAACCTTATTTTTTGAAAACAATACATTTGCCCAGAAAAATAGAAAGAGTTGTTAAATAATAACAATAATAAAACTCTGTTGAAAAACTGATAAAAAATCTACATAATTTTCAACACTTTTGGGAAAGGGTGCTCTGATAACAACATTTTTTCCGTCAATGCTACTTAAGCAGTTAGGAAAGTTGCATAACCTCCAGAAACCACGGGCAATCTCATTCCACGAGGTCCCAGAAAGGCAACCTACAAACTCTTTATTCAATGCATTCCAATTTGCTTTGCATACTTCGGAAACAATGCATGAAACAGTCGTTGATCCAAGACTGTAGCTGACTGCAATACTTTGCTGTGATCCACCACACGCCAAAATTCTGAGAGTCACTGCAAGTCTCTCTTTCAGTTCAACAGAACTAGAGTAAGCTCCGGCATGGTTAGTAAAAGGTCTGATTTTGTGAGCAAGCTCATCAAAGCTGTTGGCTGACATGCGAAAATATTTGAAATGAATTTCTTCATTAAAAGCACGCATCTGTAGAAGCAGCACAAACTCTCCCTCAGTTTTTCTTGATTGATGAAGTGGACGGACACACCATCTTCTTTCGCGATGTCGCTGCAACAACAGCAATATCATTTTTCCTCGAGTTCAAGCTCTTCCTCGTCTGACATTTTAGCAGAAATTATTCATTTCATTCACAAAGAATATTAACAAAGTTGCCAATGCACTACTTGATGTAAATGTCAACATAATTCTAAATTTGTATGCAGATTTTACGCGTTGTAGCATGGGTTGTCGCGTTTACAATAAATGCTTTATTTTATTGTCGTATGGCGCGTGCCCATAGATTGCACAAGCCGGAGTGTCGTGCGACACATGTCGTAAGAAGCATAAATTGGTCTTTAGCGACCAATACCAATGATGAAGTAGAATCTCTGTTACGAATGGCTTTTTCCGTTGTATATTGCGTTGTGCATTACAATGTACAATTACATCGTCATTTGTCATTGTAAATTTTTTTAACAAAATTGTACTCAGCATATCTCGTACTTACATTTAAGAACTACGATGGCCGATGAGCGAGTTTAGATATCATTGGGACTTCCAATGTGTAAAATTTTGCATTACAGGAGAACAGAAATTTTGACCATTATATAAAAAGAAAAGGTGATTTTTAACTTTCTAACAAAACAATTCTTTATTTTTTAATGAAGAGGCTCATGCTTTTCATTTTGTAAACAGTTCCATGATGTTAACCTATATATAAAGTCAAGTGCATACAATGCTCCCACATGGTCTTGTGGTAAGAATACGGTGCTCTATCCACCGTAGCTGGGTTCAATTCCTTAGGGAATAAACGTACATGTGTTGGAAAATAGCACTTTTCTAGTAAAGTCAAAATGAAATTTACCTTTAAGTACTTTTAAATATCGTTGTAAAAATAGAACCTCTTTCTTCTTTAACTTGAGTCACCTCATCAGTGAAATGAACTCTGGACCTCTGGTGTACTAGACCAATGCTCTTACTTCTGAGCTAACAACACTGTTACAAACTTTTACAACAATTTTTACTATGTTTAATTATTTCTCTCTAGAGAAATGTTGTTAAATAACCATTTAAAGGCAATTTTTAAGCATGCAATCAGATTTTAAGATTCATTTCTCGTGGTGATGAATAGACAGAAAATAATGGATAATTTAGAGCAAAAAGTTTTGGATATTCATTTTTAACCTTATCTAATTTATAAGTTTAACTTTAAAATTCAAACCTAATTTGGTATTTACAATACTTCAACTTAGAAGAAACTATTTACCCTTGACTTATCGGGTGGACGAGACTTATCAGTGAATCGAAATCTGGATCCCTGGTAACAAACCAGTGCTCAGTTATCTAAGGTAATAAGGCTGTTAAAAACTGTAAAATTCTCTGTTCTTTAGTCATAACTCTTTAGAGAAATTTAGTTATTTAGCATTTCAAAGCAACTTTTAATTATGCAACCAGATATTAAAATCATTTATCTTGTGGTTATCAATAAACTAAGAATACCGTCATAAAATCCGTTATAAAATGCTAAGAGAAGTTATGAACAATTTATATAAAAAAATTGTTGGTTATTGTTTTTAATGTTAAGTAATATGAATGGTTCATATTACAGCTTAATTATAATTTAGTAGGTTTATTTTTATAAATTTGATAAAAAGTGTTAAACTCGCTACACTAGCCTCATCAGAGAATTGAACTCTGGACCCCTGGTTTACGAGACCAGTGCTCTAACCTCTGAGCTAATAAGGCTGTTACACAGTGAGCAATTTTTACATTGTTTAACTATAACTATCTAGATAAATATATTTAAATAGCCAATCAAATGCAATTGTTAACCATACAACCAGATTTTATAAATTGTATAAATTTGTATAAATTTTAGTTTGTTTAATTATGACCTGATAGAGAAATGTAGTTAAATAATCATTTTAATGAACTTTTAAGCATGGAATGTAATGTTAAAAGAGTATGTCTTGTGTTAATCAATAAAGTAAGAAAACCGCCATGAAATCCGTTATAAAATGCTAAGACAAGTCGAGAATAATTTATATGAGACAATTTTTGATCTTTATTTTTAACGTTGCGTAATATGAATGGTTCAGTTTATAGCTTAATCTTAATTCGGTAGTTTAATAATCGTGTATTGGAGAAAACTTTTAAGCTTGTTAGATTAGCCTTATCAGAGAATTGAACTCCGGACTCCTTGTTTACAAGACTTGTGCTCTATTTGCTGAGCTTATAATGCTTATACATATTTCGCTCTTTTTACTTTGTTTATATACAACTCTCTAGAAAAATGTATTTAGAAAACCATATAAATGCAATTTTTAATCATGCAATCTGATGTTAAAGTTATATTTTTCGTTGTGTTGAATATACAAAGATTACTAGATAGTTTAGTACAGAATTTTTTTTGTTACAATTAAAGACATTATGTAATTTAAAAAATGAACTTTAAGATTAAATCAAAATTTTGTAGTTATAATACTTTAAATTACAAAAAAAATTTTTGCCAGGTAGACCAGCCTTATCAAAAATTTGGACTCTGGATCCCTGGTTTACTGGACCATTGCTCTAAATTCCGAGCTGAGGCTAGTACAAAATACACAATTTTTATTTTGTTTAATTATAACTCTATAGAAAATGTATTTCAATTACCAATCAAATGCAATTTTTTAGCTTGAAATCATATGCTTAAGTTACATTTCTCGCGGTGTTGAATATACAAAGATTACTAGATAATTTACCTCAGTACTTTTTATTTTTATTAAAAACGTTATGTAATTTAAAAAATGAACTTTAAAATTTAATCCTAAATTTGTAGTTATGATACTTTACAATACAAAAAAAAAATGCTTGGTAGACCACCCTTATCAGAGGATTGAAGAATGGATCCCTGGTTTAATAGACCAGTGCTCTAAATTCTCAGCTAATTAGGCTGGTACAAAATACAAAATATTTATTTTGTTTAATTATAACTCTCCAGAGATTTGTAGTTAAAAAACCATTTAAAGGCAACTTTTAAGAATAGATTCAGATTTTAAAGATTTATTTTTGTGGTAATAAATAAACAGAAAATGCTGGAAAATTTAGAGCAAAAAGTTTTTGATATTTATTATTAACGATATCTAATTTAAAAGTTTAACTTTTAAATTAATTTGTAATTTGCTATTTGTAATACTTTAACTTGGAAAAAATGTTCATCCTTGGTAGACCAGACTTGTACATGAATCGAAATCTGGATCCCTTGTTATAAGACCAGTGCCCAGTTATCTAAGCTAATAAGGCTGTTAAAAACTGTAAAGTTCCTTGTTCTTTAGTCATAACCCTTCAAAAACTTTAGTTATTTAACAATTCAAAGCAACTTTTAAGCATGCAACCAGATATTAAAATTATTTATCTTGTGGTAATCAATAAACCAAGAATACTGTCATGAAATCCAATTTAAAATAATCAGAGAAGTCGAGAATAGTTTATATAAGATAATTTTTGGTCTTCATTTTTAACGTTAACTAATATGAATGGTTCACTTTAAAGCTTAATCATAATTTGGTAGTTTAATTATCTTAAATTGGAGAAAAAATTTTAAGCTTGCTAGACTAGCCTTATCGGAGAATTTAACGCTGGACCCCTGGTTTACAAGTCCAGTGCTCTAACCGCTGAGCTAATAAGGCTGTTGAAAACTGCCCAAATTTTACATTGTTTAACTATAACTCTCTAGATAAATGTATTTAAATAACCAAACAAAACCTACAACAGAAACTGGTGAGCCCATTGCTGTTCCATGTAATTGTGTGTAGTGTGTACCTTTCTACTGGAAGTAAGTCGAGGTGAAGCAGAGCTCTAGTAGCTCCATAATGTCTTCTGTCGGTAAAGGTTTGGAAGTTTGGTAGTCCGTATAGTCTGGGTGGTCGCGGTACTAAACATCTGAGTCGCTAGTAAATACGTTCAGATATAATGTTAGATTTTCTTATAGAGAAGATATTGCTGTTAAGTTTGCGTACTAGTGATAGTGTTGGGTCTTGTTTGAGTTGTTTGTACGTTTGCCTGTCGTTAAGAAGGGTGTCCATTTTGTTGAAGTAATCATTACTGTCCATGACTGCAGTCACGCGTCCTTATTCTGCTAGTAAATGACGATGTTGTTGTCGTTTTTAGTCGTTTGAGTGCTTGTTGTTCGTCCTTTGTCAAATTTTTGTTAAGTATAGAGGAGGATTGAAAAGTGGAGGCTACCCTGCTTCTGATTTCGTCTTTGGTTGTCTCTAACAAGTCTCCTTGATACGCTAGGACAGCCTCGACACTTGATACTATCGTCTCAGTCGGGATTCGTCTAGGTATTGTGGAATGTTTTAGTCCGTAAGATAGTAGTCGCGTTTCAGTTTTGTCTAATGAGCGGGAAGAAATATTCCTCACCCAGTTATTGTCATGGTTATGTCTTGTACGTGTTTTAGTTTGTTTTAATAGTTTAAGTTTTTTTTGTTGTTTGATTTGTTGTTGTGTCTTTGCTTTGTTTGCTTGTTTCTCTGCAATAGTTTGTATCCTAGAAAGTAAAGTATCACTTACTGTCGTTGGTATGAGTTCCTTCAGTTTATTCAGTCTTTCACACTCACACTCACATCAACAAACAGAACAGCCACATACAATTTCTCAAAAATGTCGAAGAAAACGGAACTCTTCATTTTGTCGACTGTTTGGTAAAACATGACAATCAAAAACTGCGTACAACAGTTTATTGCAAGCCAACGAATACAGACCGACTACAACGAAAACAACTATCTCAAACGTGTTTTTGAAAAAAACAACTATAACTCTGAGTTAGCAAACGCAACACTTACAAACCCAACGAACCCAACGAGCCCAACGAAACGAACTACTCAGTGACAAAAGCAACGATACCTTACATCAAAGGCACGTCTGAGACTATCTCGCGTATCTTACGACCATACAACATACGTGTCTCAGGTAAACAAATCACAACGTTACGACAAGTACTAACGAACATGAAGGACAAAGAACAGCCCAACGAACGACAAGGTGCAGTTTACAAAATAAACTGCTCCGACTGCCACGCCTCCTATATCGGAAAACGGGCAGGAACTTAGACATAAGACTTACTGAACTCAAACAAGTTACTAAGAAACAAGACAAAACTAATCCATTGTCGAACATCACCGAATCACAAAGCACAACATTGACTGGGACTCGGCAAAATGCATTATTTACAGTACTGACTATAGACCACGGCTTACATTAGAAAGTTGGTATACCAACTTGAACCAAACCCCCCTGAACAGATCACAGCAATTACACCTTACAAACGACTTATTCACAATACAAACAAGTGATAACATTTTTAGTGATAACATTTATGTTGTCGCTCCATTTCAAATCATTTCTTATTGTGAGTCCCAAAATTGTAACATTTTGAGCTCTTTCGAAAGGTTGATCATCGATTCTGATTTCATCAAATCGTTGGAGTAGTTTTTATGAACATTTGATCATTTCTTTACATTTCTTTGGATTAAGGATGAGTTTATTTTCTATTGACAATTAGCAATGTGGTTGATTTCTTGTTGTAGATAAGTTTTCCTATCATATGAAATTAGTTCTGAAGTAGTGGTGTCATCTGCAAATTTCCACATAAGTGATTTCGTTTTTCCAGATATTTCTAAATCATTGATCATGGCTAAAAATAACCATGGTTCTAGACAGCTTCCTTGAGGCACTCCTCCTGGCACGCTTCTCCAATCGGACATACACTGATTGAGTTTTACTTTTTCTTCCCTGTCTCCCAGAAAATCAATAAGCAATTTGATGGTTGAAGGCTCTTTCCCAAGAGTTAAACCTTAGCAATTCGGAGATTATTATCCATCGTATCAAATGCTTTTTTAAAGTCTACGAAAACAGCTCAAACTGCGACTGCTTTTCAGTCAGTCATTTGTTTCCAATTATAAATCATCGATATAAGAGCATGGGTAGTTGAGGATTTAGGGATAAAACCATATTGATGCTTATCGATGCATCTTAATATGACTGGTTTTATATCTTTTTCCATAACAAATTCTTCTGCAATTTTGGATAGAGTGGAAGTAAGTGATATCGTTCTCGAACCTTGTGTAAAATTTTTAATAATTGTTCTTTCGGGACAGTGGGACGATATCAGCAGTTTTCCACATCGTAGGAACTTGACAGTTCCGGAAAGACACATAAAGAAATAGTGTGCTTAGTAACGTGAGAATATCCGCATATTCTTCAATATCCAATTAAGGAAACCACCATGACCACCTATTCCGAAAAATTGACCTCCGTCTCAATGTCTTCGGAACACGAAGAATAATCACAATCACAACTTTGGTTTCTTAAACAATTTTTAGTATTACTCCTCAAAGTATTTCGCTTCTCTCGCTTCTCTCGCTTGTCTCACTTCCGTTCTCTGCTCTCTCTACTTCCGTTCCACTCATGTTTTCTATATTGTTCCTTGTCGTCCCCAACGTACCCGAATGTACAATCGAACTCAACACAAATTTAACATAATTTGTAACACCCTCCCCCACATGTAACTAGAAATCAGTCATATGTTATATCACTTTGTCTCGAAGTTTGTTTCATTTCTGTTCCATTAGCTCCTGATTTATCGCCTCCGCAACCACAGCAGCTTGTCGTCTTGGTCTGAATTCTTCGGCGTTCACTCGCAACTTTTTTTTATGGTTGCTGACGTCACGTTGTAATTCTAAAGGATAGATCAGTTGGATTGGTCTCTCAAGAGATATTTTTCCACACTGAAGTTTGACTCCTCTCACAACTCCATCCCTTCCACGGATCAACATCGTTACCTTTCCGATCTTCCACATATTTCGGTTTTTCTTATCGCCCTTAATTAAAACGATATCTCCCTCTTTCGGATGAGACTCGGTAGCTGAATTGTTAACTTGATTGCGTTGCCGTAGACTTGTTAAATATTCTCGCTGCCATCTGTTCCACAATTGGGTTTTGATTTTGTACAAATATTTTGCTCGCTTCCGTAATTCACCGTCCTTCATGTGATGACTCTCCACCTCAGGGATGGCATTCGTCTGTCGCAGTACGAACGAAGATGGTGTCAGTACGGGGAGTTCAACATCACCCTCTACATAGCTCAGTGGTCGATTATTCATACAAATTTCTACGTCCAGAACAACTTCTGTAAGTTCATCGAATTTCAGAAGTCCTTTACCAACGACTTTGTAAAATGATGATTTGAATACAAAGATCAATCGCTCAAACTGGCCTCCCCACCAGGGTGCGCGGGACAGATTGAATCTCCATTTCATGCTATGTTTACTGAGCTCACTGTAAAAACTCTCGTCTTGCATTGCTCTCTTTGACCATGCCGCTGCAGCTTGGAACGTTTTCGCATTGTCCGAATAGATCAGCGAAGGACGACCTCGCCTTGCTATGAGCCGTTTTAGACTTTGCAGGAAAGAAGTTGTCTCAAGACTCTTCAACAATTCACGATAGACTCCTCACGTCAAACTACAGGAAAAAAGCACTAAATAGGCTTTTCCTTCTTGATTTTTCTTGACTTTATACTTCATCGGACCGGCAAAATCGACACCAATGACTTTATACGGTGTGGTTCCCTCTGTTCGAGTCTTTGGTAAAGGAGCAGGTATTGGAGCTTGATACAGTTTAGTCGTAGATCTCTAGCATCTGTAGCATCTCTTCCTTTTCTTTTTGACTAGTCGACGAAGCCGAAGAACCCAATGTCTTTCTCGATCATCGCCATCGTAAGTATAACTCCCCCTTGGAGTGTTTCCAAGTGTGCATCTTCCACTAACTTCATGGTGAATAGAGCGCCATCAGGCAAGTAAATAGGGAACTCTCCTTGTTTCTGACCGTGACATCTTAAAATCTCGTCATCGTCGGGTTGTACATTTAACTGAATCAGATCCGTTTGAGACTTTGGGTTTTCTGTGACTCCGGCTTGTACCATTTTTATCCATGACATGTATTGTTCTTCCACTTCTTCAGATGTCAGTGGCCCGTGCTTTCTATTATCTCTGTTTTGTCGAGCATTATCAATAAATCGTTTCACCCACGCCCCAATACGAATCGCCTCCTGCAATGGATTTTTTTCAAGAACATCACTCAATATTGCAAAGTCCGACTGCTGAATAGCCGTGTTCAAAACTACTCTCGTCGCCTTTGCTTCACTTTTGGAGTCAACCGACGGTTTGACTGTAAGATCTGGTGGCCAAAGACTACGCTCTGATAGCCAGGCAGGACCTTTCATCCACATCTCAGTCAGTTTGCCACCTCTAGTTCTTAGGTCGGCCGGATTGTCGGTTGTTGGCACATGATTCCACACGATCTCATTAGAAGCTCGGATTTTTGCCACTCGATAGGACACGAATTGTTTATAATCCCCCTCTCCTTTAATCCACCATAAAGCTACAGTACTATCTGACCAGCAGTGTTTTCTGTGTGAAATGTGCCTCAGCGCATTGCTAGCATTCGAGACCAAATTTGCGGCCATATGACTTGCAACAAGCTCTAACCTCGGGATAGTCAGTCCTCTCTTGGCAAGTCTTGATTTCGCTGCCAGTAATTCCTGAGTAACCCCAGATGGTTGTTTAGCGACCGTGTACACGACTGCGCACAAACCTTCACCGCTGGCATCCCCAAATCCATAAATCTCTAAGCTACAGACGGGCTCTTTGAACGACAGAACCGCTCTTGGCACGGTCACTTTGCTTGGTAAGGTGTTTTCCCACTTCTTCCAACTCTGCTTCAATTTACCAATCAATTCTGCGTCCCAGAGTAATTTCAGGTCACACACCTCTCGATAGATTTGTTTGCCTTGCAAAAGCTGAGGGGATGCAATTCTCATTGGATCATAAATCTTCGCCAGTCGACTTAAAATGTTGCGCTTCGTTGGCCATTTCTCACAATGTCCTATTTGTACACTTAACGTATCTTTCTCCTCATTCCACGTTGTACCCAGGAACTTCGTCTCAGTTGGCTGCACCCCAAATTGTTGTTTGGCCGCTGTTTGCTCTTCATGATTTTTGTTAACACTACCTTCATCCAACATCTTTGCATTTGATGCCCACTTATGAAGGGTAAAGGTTTCGTCACCCAGAATGTCAATAGCTACCAATTTCCTTTTTCTTGCTTCATCCACAGTGCATCCTCCCGAAATGATGTCATCAACGTACAGACACCTTCTCAGAGCCTCAACTGCGTCTGGAGCTTTGTTTTTTCCAGTGATCCAAATGTGTTTCTTGAACTCCCCCAAGTAGGAATGGAGAAGAAACCAATCCAAACAATACTCTTGTGTACTGTAATACTGCTACATCAGCTTGTGGATTTGGTCACCATTGAAATCTTAAAGAATCCCGTTCATGTTGGCGTACACGAATTGGAGAAATGCATTTTGAATATCCCCAGTAATTGCAACAGGAAAACTTTGCGCTCTTATCAGCACTTCCCACAGCTTGTTATTTAGCTTAGGTCCCGCGTACAGGCATTCGTTTAAAGAAGGACTTTCTGGTGAAGCTTTTGCTGATGCATCGTACACCACTCTCAGTTTAGTGGACTGCGCTGACTCGTGAACGACTTCTTTGTGAGGTATGTAGAATTCATTAACTTTTGCTACGTTAGTTGCTGGTTCAACTACGCCATTTTGCTTTTGGTCTTGGATTACTGCATTACTGCGTTGTAATCTTTAGTTAATTTCTTTCGCTGTAATCGTCGCTCTAAAGATTCCAACCTTCTGATGCTTCCTGTTTTGTTCGATTTGGAGAGGTGGATGATTTCCGCGGTATGGAAGACCGGTCTCGTACCAGCCCTCGCGTTAATTGCTCAATGAATTCGTTATACACAATTGATTGGTCGTGTTCAGCAGTGTCTGCTAGGCCCAGCACATCCAACCTGCAGAGATCTTCGTAACCCTTCTGTGATATTTGGGTAAGCAGCATCCTTTTACTATTTGGTTCCACATCAGGGCTCATGGCAAACTATCCGAGTTTTGTTTTTTCTGCAATTGTTTGCCCCTCAGTTGCCAATAGAGGATTCGTGCGAGTTTTTATCCGTGCATATTCCCCGCTTCCCAAAACGATATGTACAGGTATTTGAGCTTTTTGATCATTATCAACAAATTTTGCATTCTTTAGGTGTTAAAACTCTCTTTGTAAGTTTTTATAGTGTGGATTGTCCACATTGAGTAACTCTTCTTTCTCCACCTTTATCAACTTCACCTTCATTGAATAATCACTGTCTATTGCTTCAACTTCCACTTCATAGATTTCCAGTCTTGTTGTTTTTGATGTTAGAAGCATGTCAACTTTAGTGGTTTGTGTCTCAGTTGGTTTCACCCTCAGCATCGATGCAAGTTTACCAGATATGTATGAGCTTCCAGCCCCTGAGTCGATCAATGCACGACATGTAATTCCATTTATCAACAAGACTGGATTTCGCCTAGTCCACTGTCTGACTGCTTCAGTAAGCTTGGTAAACTCCCAACTTTCCCATTCTGGATCATTTCTAACAAGGTCCAACGTATGGCTGGGAGTTTGTCTAGAGTCATGGAAACATTTCCTTGGACATCTTTCAGTTTACCCAGCGTTTCCAAAGCTTGGACACTGTGATTTAACTTCTCACTAAATTCGGCAATCTTTCTTTGCTCCGGAGATATGAGGCAAGTTCATGATCTCTTTTATGTAAGCTTTTATAATTTCCGAATTCTTCCCATAATGATCTTTTAAAATTGACTTCGTTCTATTGTATCCTTCGGTGGTAAAAGGTAATGATTCTACTCGTCGCTTAACTTTGGGCCCAAGGAAACCACACAGATATGTGAATTTGTTGATGGCAGCTATATTTGACTTGTTCACCGTCTCCGTAAATTTCCCCCCAAATCTGGTCCAATCCATGTATCCCCCCTCAAATTTCGTAATATTTATTTTTGGTAATCTCACCGACATGCCTTCAACACTTATTTTTTGAGTCCTCAGACTTTGAATTTTTAATTTTTGCATTTACTTGAGCCTTTGTTTCTTGAAGCTTTACTTCAAATTTAAGTTGCTCCTCGCGAGCGTGATTTTCCTCTTCTAATTTCCTATTGTTCAGGCAGTGTTGTAGCTTGTTTATTTCGTCTTCGGCTTCGCTTATTTTTTTTTCGATTTCCGCATTCCAATCGCTGATTTCTTCAAGATCGTCCTCTCTTTCGATTTTCGCTGCTTCTACAGCTCTTTTAAAATTGTCAGCTTCGTTTATAGTTGTTTTGAGTGCGTTCAGTTGTCGTTCGATAGTTTCTCGCTTTCCCGAATCTAATATTTTAGCTGTTCTTTGAGCAGATAACTTTAGTTGAGTTAATTTTATATTGAGTTTTGCTTCGTCGTTTGCCATGTTTGTATGGGACGCGTAATATCTCGTACGAAATTCTCACAATTTATCACAAGAACAATCCCTCGTCGGCAGGTGCCAGGTATTCCAAAAAATTGACCTCCGTCCCAATGTCTTCGGAACATGAAGAATAATCACAATCACAACATTGGTTTCTTTAACAATTTTTATTATTACTTCTCAAAGTATCTCATTTCTCTCGCTTGTCTCGCTTGTCTCACTTCCGTTTTCTGCTTTGTCTACTTCTGTTCCACTCATGTTTTCTATATTGTTCCTTATCATCCCCAACGTACCCGAATGTACAATTGAAACGCAACACAACTTTAGCATAATTTGCAACACACCAGCCTTTGAGCGACTAATTTTTCTTAACTTTTCAACAACCTTGATTTCGTCAAGGTTTTGTTATAATATTATGCAATTTTAATGGCAAATATGCTTAATAATTTGTCACGTGTCATCTCATATCAATAAAAGAGAACAGTTTCCTTCAATTTGTCACAAGCAGTTCGTTGCTGAAACGAATAACTCCGATTTAGTCATGTCTATAACATTTCATACTCAAGGTAAAAGTACATTGATTGTTGATAGCAATAATTTAGTAAATGGAGGTTATGCCGATTTCACTGATGGTGATTACATTGCTGAAGAGTCTGGTGTCGGTTCATGGATAGTTTACAGAAATAAAAACTACAGCTCTGAAGGAACACTTGACATCATTGTTGTACCAGAAAAAAAAGGGAAAGATAAGGTTAAATGGTGTCAATGGATAAACAAGACTTGTTCCTACTGAGAATTCTCGTTTGATACTGTTTGAGCATGCCAATAATTGCGAGCATAAAAAGGTAACAAGCGTTTTTGCTAATTGACGTCAAAATAAAATGCTTGATTTATATTAACATTCTTAGCTTTTAAAAACCTTTAATTTATGTTTCTTCATTAAGTTGACAAAATATTTTTCTTTTTAAATTGCTATTGTTCTACATTGCTAGCCGTATAAACTTTTTTCAATTTTTGTTATTGCAATTCATTATCTTTACTTACAATTAGTTAAAGTTGTTTGTGATTTCAAATGAAACAGACATGCTGTGACTGACACGGTGCAATTATTTTCGCATCATTATTAGAAAGACCAATGTGCTGATGTTACAAAAGATTTTCCAACGACATGGCAAGAAGTTTCATCAGTAATCGTGGTTGATGCTCTTCACAGTTGCAACGTGTACATAAAAAAGAAATGGGGTGGTGCAAGCAAGTGGTGTACATCACGAAAGTGGCTTCGTTTTGTTGGACAAGAGTTCAACGATAAAATGCAGAGTTTTGACCAAGGCTAACTGCTCTCATGTTATTGAAATGATCATAAATCATCATTGCACGTTTACATTTAACTCTTTAAGGAAATTTAATTCCTGTCCTTGGAAAATAATAATTATTTTGAAAATCATCAAATAGTTTCTCGTTCATATGATTGAAGTTGGAAAATTTTAATGCCAAAAATGAAAAACGGGCATTGTAGATTAAAAACAAATCATTTTCAAATATTTCTTGATTTTTGTTTAAAAGATATCAGACAGCGCAAATGCTTTAACGTACTAAGGAAGTGCATAGCAAAATTTTTAATATCTATAAATACTATCTTAATCTAATTGTTGAACAATGCTTTCTTTTTATCGTACTTTTAGATGGTTTAAACCACTCGTATTATTCAAAACATGTTTGTTACATGTTCGTAAATGTAGATCGTAAAGATTGGTATAGTCCTGGGCAGTGGCGTAGCTAGCGGTCCCGCTACTCCCGCCCGGCGGGAGTAGAAATTTCCCAAAAAAATAATAAATATTCTATTTGGACATAAGATATACATTATTTCACGAACAATTTGTAATATTATGTTTTATTCGTTCATATTTACGCTTTTATTAGGTGGTTCGTAATCGTAATACAGCAAAATCTCAAGATTTGTTATGTAACCTAGCAACCGCCTTTTCTTGCACATTGCATACTCGCGCGATTCTCCACGTATTCCGCCCATCTTCAGAGGGCGGAACATACAATTTTATTCTATATAAGAAGTTTTGAACTCTGGTTGGCTAAGGGACTTGACGCATGCTCAAGTCTGCTGTTTTTATAGTCGAACTCCCGCTATTTTAAATTGGCGGAGGTTGTAATTATTCGACCTTTTAATACGAGTACAGCGATTAGTGATTATCAAATTACGTGTCATTGTCGGTATTAATTTTCCATTGTGTTTACTCTCAAATTGCTATTTTGTATTTGTATATGACACAATGGCTTCAAGTGCGACTGCGATTTGCTCAACTGATGTTGATTTAGTAAATAGCTTATTAGCTAAACCGTTCTCTGCTCAATCGTCGGTCGAACAGAATGTTATCGTTCATGAACGGCCTACTTCTGATTTAACTATCCAAAATAAGGGAAGAGCATTTCAGAGAGATTGGTATGAGGCGAAGGACTGGCTGTGTGGCAGTACAACCTTGCAGAAAGTGTTTTGTTGGCCATGTCTAATGTTTTCCCCCAAAACATCGCCATCGTGGACTAAGAATGGCTACAACGATATGCGGAGTATTATGTCTGATGCTAAGAAGCATGAAAAATCTAAATCGCATTTGACTGCATTTAAGACATGGAAAACGTATGGAGCTAGTGAACGAATTGATTGTCTTATGTTCC